TTTTTATTGATCCTAATGTGGCCTAAAATACTATTTGAGCGCTTAATAGATCCCAAAATGTACTTTAATTTTATAATTTATAATTCAGACTATTATTAGAAAAATAATAATTTTAAATGAGAAGAGAAAAGAAGAAAAAGACATTAAATATAATGAAATGGAAATTATAATTAAAAGATCTTAAGAATTAGTAAAAATCAATCCCAACTGCTGTAGCGGTTCTGCGAAACCGATCCGTTTGAAGATCCGTACGAATTGGTTACGGGTTTACTCGTAGAGCTGTAACCGTTATTATAAGAACTTTGAGATCCAAAACGCTTAGTACTCGACGACGAGTCGTACTCTCTTCGCACCGGTCTCTTGGCGTCGGGTCCGCCGCCGTTCTGGCCGTCAAACTTACGCTTAAAACCACCGCCTCCTCCGCCACCGCCGGAGTAGCCATTAGAGCGTCCGCCCCAACCGCCGCCGCCTCCACCAGCGGTGCCATAACGACGGCGTTTGTTATTTCCCATATATCTTGACTGTTGGGCCAAATCGTAAAGCTTTGGTTCGACCGTTTGATCCGCTTCTTTGAGGACATCAATCAACTCATTCGCCTGTTTCGCGTTCGCCGACGTGAAGAATGTGAAAGCGGTTCCCTTCTTATCGCGACGTCCGGTGCGACCAATTCGGTGGACATAGTCTTCACCAGAGTTTGGATAATCATAATTAACGACATACTTAATGTCGTCCACATCTGCGTGTATTCAGTCATACAATAGATTAGTTTAAGTCAAACACAATTAAAATGAGACGAAATCAACGGAGAATATATAGTCACACAACGTATGGAAAAATAAGTAACAGTTATTAATCATAATAATAATAAACTAGCAATAAGTGAAACTAAAACAACGAGTCTATCATTAATAACTTATACCAAATCTTACAATTAGTTTAAGAGCCAATTAATTGAAAACAAAAATGAATATCAATTTTACCGATAACTTGATTGAAAGGCAGGTAATGAGTGTTTGGTTCGCATCCAGGCATGAGTTTTGTTCATTTGTGTCCCCACTCTTCGGGAGCACATTGTGTTAGAGGTGTAGGAAAGAGAGGCACCAATACATACAAAATAGAGCCAATAATATACGGGTTTATATTGTATATCATATAATCGACTCCATTCTAGCATACGGTGAGTGCCTCTTAAAAAACAAAACAAAAAGAAACAAACAGTTAATACATCTCATCAGCACATTATCACAAGAGCGCCGATAGTTATTGTTAACTGTATTGACATTTCTATTCATTTCATGCCGTTTTTGTTCCGTTCACTCCTTATCTCAAAACTAACACTTTTATGGTCTGATTCTGTGTATCGCTTCATCGGGAAGAGACCCGAATACCCGATTCACAAACCAGTGATTCCATACCATTACCGGTTGGTTACCCGACATAACCGGTAATACAAACCCAGATGCGATTTGGACTCACAATTAGTTACCCAATTGTCTGCAATTCTTCAATCATTTGGTTTTTTTGTATGTTTTCTCTCACGTAAAGTATTGTTTAATCAATAAAAACAGACGACTCACCCAATCCACGAGCGGCCACATCCGTGGCTACGAGAATCGGTGAACGACCCGATCGGAACTCTATACACACGAGTGGTTCAAATGGAAAGTTAAACAATCATCAAAACGAGCAGTCAATGGATGCATACCTTTGAGAACCCAATCCCTTTCGTGTTGTGGTTTATCGCCGTGAATGGAGGCGGAGGGCCACCCGCTGTTCCGCAACTCATTGGCCAAATCATTGGTCTTACGCTTCGTTTCGGCGAATATAATGGTCTTGTTTTCGCGCGAATCGGCTCTGATTTTGGTCAACAGATCAAACAGTTTCTGCTTTTTGTCGAACTCTTCGCAAACCTCGACGTATTGCTTGATATTCTTGTTGGCCGACAGTTCAGTGCCGCCGACATTGATCTGCACGTAGTCTTTCATGTACTGCGCGGCCAATGCCTTCACCTCTTTGGGCCACGTGGCCGACCACATCAGTGTCTGGCGCTCTCGTGGCAACTGAGCGATGATCTTCTTCAGCTGCGGCTCAAAACCCATGTCTAACATACGGTCCGCTTCGTCCAGAACCAGATAGTCGACGGCCCGGATGTCGATCGCACGGCTCTCCACGAAGTCAATCATACGGCCGGGCGTTGCGATTATGATCTGCGGATTCATTTCGCGGATTTGTCTCATCTGCGGCCCTCTGGAAGCGCCGCCATAGAGACACACGTTGTTCGCGAAACGATACCGACGGACCACTTCTTGGATCTGTTGAGCCAACTCTCGAGTGGGCGCCAGAATCAGACATTTGGGTCCTCTCTGGGGTCTGTCCCTCAAGATCTTGACAAAAGCGGGCAATACGTAGCACAACGTCTTGCCCGAACCGGTCTGCGCCACACCGACCAGATCCCGGCCCTCGAGAGCGATGGGCCACGACTGGCACTGTATGGGAGTGGGCGAAGTGAACTGATCCGTCTCGAGGGCTTCGGCGATACGTTGGGGCCATTTGAAGGCATGCATTGACATGAGTGGCAACGGGGCGTCCTTTCCGTGAACAGTGATGTCGTACTTCCGCCAGAAGTCCTTCGCCTCCATATTGGGGTCAACCCTAAGACATATGCCGTTCT